CTTTATTTCCAACAAGATATCTTCAAAATGGCTAGGCTTGGTGGCTCATGCCTATAATCCTAGCACTCTGGGAAGCCTAGGTAGGTGGATTGCTTGAGTTCATGAGTTCGAGACCAACCCAAGCTATAGCAAGACCCCATCTCTAAAAAATAGCTTGGCATTGTGCCATGCGCATGTAGTCCCAGCTACTCAGGAGGCCGAGGCAAGAGAATTGCTTGAGCCCAAGAGTTTGAGGTTGCCGTAAGCTATGATGCCATGGCATTCTACCGGGGGTGACAGAGTGAGACTCTGTCTCAAAAAAAGAAAAAAGATACCTTCAGAATGTGTGTACATCTTTTTAGCACCCCCCAGTGTATGTCAACTTTCCAATTCTCGTGCTGCAAATAGTATTTGAAAAATTTCTGAACTAACAAAATTAAAGATTAATAAGTATTTTTTAATCTGCATGAAAATTTTCATTGACATTTCAGTGGCCATGGAACTTTTTCTTTTTTTTTTATTTCTTATAGCATAACTGTGTACATTAATGCAATCATGGAGTACAGTGTGCTGTTTTCATGTACATTTTGAAATACTCTCATCAAACTGGTCAAGATATCCTTTGCCATGGAACTTTTTAAAGTTTAAAAATTTTTATTACTTCTGTGGCTATTAAGCCCTTCCTCAAATACACTTTTCCTTTTCCCTATAATTATTTTCAGTGTAGCGTTAACTGTACATTAGGCAAATAGATCAGTTAAAGAATGAGATTTTCTTTTCTTCCTGATGCATTCCCATTAAAGTTACTGTTTTACCAAAATTTCTTTCCATTACCTAAAGAATTTTTAAAGGTTGAATTCATAAAATCAATAGTTATTATAAATTAATATTTCACGTACTAATTGAGAGCATTTTAAGTAAGTGACAACATCTAGAAAGATCTTTGTATTAGTGGAACTGCCTTTTTGATCTACTCTGGGAATATTCATCTTATGTGAAAGCCTTATTGGCAGTATTTATGAAAGTCGTTTCAGTACTAGGTCAAATACCCAATTTGGGAAAAAGAAGACCATGAGTCCGTTGCCAGAATAAGAAATTAATCCACTAATGAATTTTTTAAAGACTAAGTTATATTAAATCCAAAGAATAATGCTTCATGGTATGTGTCACCTAATAAATAGTTCATGGGATGGGTGGTAATTTGAAAAATTGAAGAGGAGGAGCTGACTGGGGGCTCTTAGCACTATCTATTCACAAGTCATATCTGGCAACTTCATGTATCTGGATTCTTAACAGAATCAGGAAGTAAGAAAAAGATCATTGAGATGGCAACCAAGGTCAATATTAGCAAGTACATAAACTCCAGGGTTGTATCTTTTTCCTAGTTACTGCTCCAGAGGTCAGCAACAAACAAGCAAACAAACAAACAAAAACCCACCTGACAGAATTTCTGGAATGCAAGCAGAACCAGAATTGTCTTGCAGCCTATTCCTTATTACCTTTGACACAATTCTAATAAGCTTAATTATATGATATATCAATCCCTAGTCGATTGTAAGCTAGGTGGAGAACTAGGACAACAAGAGGCAAGGAAATGGGAAATAGTAAAAAATCACAGTTAGCATTTAGCCCTCTTCTTCCTTTCCTGCAAGTATATCCATCTGCACTGTTCCTCCTTTCCAGTCTCAGGATAGGTTTTCTTTTCTTGGTCAGTACTTCTGGAATCCCATTCCTTTCACCTAGGAGACCTTGTACCATTCAGCACCTCAGCCTGTCAATTGCTAATGACTCATTTAAGTGTCTTCCACTCTCAAGCTGTCTTTTCTTGTACCTATGTTCCCCCTTTTAATTAACTTCTTATTGTCCTCGCTTTTCTTAATCATTCTAAACTTCTCAAAACAAGTATTGCACGTTCACCATTCCAAGTTTCTTTTTTTTTTTCGTTTTGTTTTGTTTTTTCCTTTTGTTTTTTTTTTAGATGGGGTCTTGCTCTATCACCTAGACTGGAATGATCATAGCTCACTGCAGCCTCAGACTCCTGGGCATGCTCTCTCTCTCTTTTTTTTTTTCTTTTTTTGAGACAGAGTCTCACTATGTTGCCCTCAGTATGAGTGCATGGCATCACAACTCACAGCAACCTCAAACTCTTGGGCTTAAGTGATTCTCTTGCCTCAGCCTCCCACGTAGCTGGGACTATAGGTGCCCACCACAATGCCCAGCTATTTTTTTTTTGTTGCACTTGTCGTTGTTTATCAGGCCTGGGCCAGGTTTGAACCCGCCACCCTTGGTCCATGTGGCTGGTGCCATAACCACTGTGCTATGGATGCCAAGCCTTCTGTGCTCTCATTATCCTCCTCCTTCAGCCTCCCTAGTGGCTGGGACTACACGTGTGTATCACCACCATGTCTGGCTAATTTTTCTTATTTTGTTGTGGACATGGGGTTTCACTATGTTGCCCAGGTTGGTCTCAAACTCCTGCCACCTCCCTCCCTTCCTTCCTCCCTTCCTCCGCTCCTCCCTTCCTCTATTCCTCCTTCCCTCCCTTCCTCCGTACGTCCTTTCTTTCCTTCCTTCCTTTCCTGTCTCAATCTGTGCCCTTGGTACAGTGCCAAGGTGTCCTAGCTCTCAGCAACCTCAAACTTTTGGGCTCAAGCGATCCTCTTGCCCCAGTCTCCCAGGTAGCTGGGTCTCCAGGTGCCAACACAATGCCCAGCTAGTTTTTCTGTTTTTAGTAGATACAGGGTCTTGCTTTTGCTTAGGCTGGTCTCAGACTCCTGAGCTCAGGCAGTCCACCTGCCTCAGCCTCCAGAGTGCTAGGATTACAGGTGTGAGCTACCCCACCTGGCCAATTCCAAATTCTTGATGTCCTAACCAATCACTTCCCCTTTCACTCCTAAACCTACAGCATTTCGATTCATACTCCCCTACCCTAAATGTTGCCAAATACAATAGACATGTTTCAAGCTTCTCTAGTATTTTACAGCCTAATTAAAACTTCTACCCTAATTGAAATTCTTTCCTTGGCTTCTATGGTACCTTTTTCTATCTGCCTTGTTTTTTCCCTTTTCTTTTCTCTTTTTTGTTTTTTGGTTTTTGCGGGGTTTTTTGTTTGTTTGTTTTGTTTTTATTTTTTGCAGTTTTTGGCCGGGGCTGGGTTTGAACCCTCTACCTCAGGTATATGGGGCTGGTGCCCTACTCCTTTGAGTCACAGGCACCTCCCCTCCATCTACCTTTTCTACTTATTTTCCTACTCTTTTGTCTATTCCTCAAGTATTGGTGTTCCCAAGAGTTTTGTCTCTGGTCTTCTTTTTATTCTGCTTTCCCTGACTGTTAAATAACTTGTCCATGGCTTTAATACCAGTTAGGTTCATATAACTACTTCATTGGGACACAAGAATCTTAAACTCAGCATATCCAAAACTGAGTATCTCTCTCATCCACATATCCTTTTTCACCCGCCTCCAAATAACTACAAATAAAAGAAAACAAATGCATATATTCTTCCTCTTATATTGCCTATCATGAGGAATGACACTAGCATCTACATAACCACTCACGTGTGGAATTAGCAGCCATTCTGTTAGGTTCTTTTCCTATATCCACTACATCCATTTGGTCAATTCTGCCTTCTGATTTGATCTCCAGCCTGTCTCTTTTCCATCACCTCTGCACTTCGTTAACCTCGCTCAGCAGTAGTGATAGGGGTGCCGCCTAACTTACTACCCCAGTCTAGTATCTGCCATAATTTTTTTTTTTTGAGACAGTCTCACTTTGTTGCTCTTGGTAGAGTGCCACAGCATCAGAGCTCACAGCAACCTCCAACTACTGGGCTCAAGTGATCCTTTTGCTTCAGCCTCCCAAGTAACTGGACTACGGGCACCTGCTACAATGCCCAGCTAGTTTTTAGAGATAGGGTCTCACTTTTGCTCAGGCTGGTCTCAAACTCCTGAGCTCAGGCAGTACACCTGCCTCGGCCTCCCTAAATGCTAGGATTACAGGCTTGAGCCACTGTGCCTGGCCTGCCATAATTTCTGAAACAAATATCCTGCTTAATCCTGCTGCTGAAATATTTTTTTTTGTCATCAAGAGAAGGCCAAACTACCTAAAAGCATACAGTGCCTTTGTGAGCTCTTCCTTGTATATTTTTTCCTGCCTCCTGTCCAGCCAGGACGTGCCTCTCAATCTGTTGTTCTGGCTATGCCAGCCTGAATACATTCCCTTGCTGGGCAACGTCTTTTTACCCTCCATAGTTTCATCTGTATGTGTGATTATTTCTTATGCCTGGAGCACCCTTCCCCCATTACCTGCATGGTTAACTCCTACTCATCCTTAAAAACTCAGTTCCAGTGTCACTTTTTCAAAGTGTATCTTGTGTAAAAAGGCTGATTTTGAGCGTGCCTGTGAAACAACTTTCATGATACTTTGTGCTGTCTGCTCCTACCACAACACATTCTGAAATTATAACAATGGATTTTTCTTGTCTGATGCTCACACTAGACTGAACATCTTCAGACAGTTATGCCATTGTGGCCAATTTATATCTCTTTTCCCATTACTAAATGACCATAGATGATTATACATTGAGTTCTTATGCCTGCTTTGTATAGTTGTTCATTTGGTGAATTACTGCTTCACAATCTGAGTTATTTCAGGCACTGTGCATCTTCCACATTTTAACAGTTTGTCTTTGAAAGCTCACAGCCTGATTATCAGGGAAAGGCTAATTATATTTATTCATTATCTTCTGTTTAAGAAATCTAGGATGTATGCGATCATTTTATACATCTTTCATTGAAAATGACTACATTTTTTATTTGGTACTTAAAATTGTATGATTTGTTTATTTGGAAAATCACTTTTGTGGAACATCTCATTTGCTGATAACAAATACCTGTGACTTGTTACCCTGGTGTAAAAAACAAAATATGCGTGTTGGGAAGTACTGTCATTTTAACTTAAAATTGACAGATTTGAAATTTTGTCACTGTTTCTGTTCTCAATTGTCCTTTTTCCACATCTAGCTCAAGACTGCAGTGCAGATGACGACAACTTCCTTGTGCCCATAGCGGTGGGAGCAGCCTTGGCAGGAGTACTAATTCTAGTGTTGCTGGCTTATTTTATTGGTCTCAAGCGTCATCATTCTGGATATGAGCAATTTTAGCATCTGCAATCTGATTGATTACATAGAAATACATGCAAATAACAAGATTTTCTTGCCTTTCAGTTTCTAAAACACTTTGCTTCTTAAAATTGATATGATGAAACTTTCTTTTATTAGCCCTAGCATTTTGAGATCAGTCTTTATTAATAAAAACTCTTCTCTCTGATCAGTTTAAAATCAGAAATGTTGTAATACTGGTCCAAGAGACAAACCTGTTAAAAAGAACATTGGTGTGCAGTATTTTAAGGTCTAGCTTAAGAAGCCTTGGCCGAATTTTGACCCTCAGCTGAAATGCCTTAAACTTATTAACATGGCCATTGTAAGAATAAAATATGTAGTTGTGTCTTAATGGGATTAATAAATATTATTCACTACTGGTGTTCTGTTTCAGTGTATAAGAACTATTTTGATTTAAACTCATTACTGTGCCTTTGCATGAAGTTCATTAAATAAATGTTGATGTGGCATAAATGCCCATCAGATACGTTTCAAAGATGGTTTTCAGTCAATTGAAATAGGGGATGTCCTGAGGACCATCTTCTTTTTTAAGGTTATATGACTTTTGCTGATTTCTTTGAGTTCAGGTTAAGGATGAAGTCAGTATCTCAGGCTTGTGATTTTTCCCTAGGTATACAAAACAAACCCAAGAGACTACAAAAGAATTTCAACTGGCTTCAGAATTAGTGTTTTTATGAGAATTGTTTGTTTTTCAGCCTTACAGACTGAAAAGAATCAAGCATATTTAACCACTTGCCTTTTTTTTTCCCTTGTGTTTTGCTCTTCTTTGGATGCCTGATTAGCACTGAAAGATAGAAATATTCCATGAACTAATTAGGACAGATTGTGTTGTGTTTCTCTACCTCATCTTGTTGATCTCTGGAGCATTAAAATCTATTTAGTGTTGTCATCAGACTGGTACTTATGAAATGTAAGCTAACAGCAATCTCAGAAGGGAGGCAGTGAAGCATAACAACTAGGCTCTTCCTTCTTCAAGATGGCCCCTGTGGGCCAGCACATAGATGGGGTGGAGAAAGAAGTTATTGGCATTAAAATAAGCTAGATAACCAGGCTTTGTTGAAGCATATTCCATAGTGTAAGTACAGCACAAATATCAAACATACAGATAAATAAGGTGGAAGCTTAATAGATGAGAAGAATTTCACTTTGAAATCTTATTTTATGAATTCATTTTATATATATATTGGCATGTTCAGATTGTCTGTAACTCACTAACAGTACAGTATATCTTGTTAACCTGGTCTCAGTCTCTGTTTGAGGGCTTTTAGTAAAATACAATCAACCCTTTCAACATCAGCTAATGTGGTTACTGAAATTCATGTTATGTACTCAGAATCATAGCAACGTTTTTATGAATAACAAAAGTACAAGAGGAGGTAAAAGTAGAAGAAAAATACAAGTCACTTTTCAATCACAAATCACATCAAATATCACATTTTGTTAATTGCATTAGATTTATTCTAGAAAGGACCTTAAAGATTATTTATTCTAAACTCATAATTTTATAGAAAGAGAAGTGACTTCACTAAGGTTACGTATCTAGTGTACAGCAAAACTATTATTAGCATTTTGATAAAAAAAAAAAAAAACTTCCCCAGTGAAATCTAGTAACTCAATAGTAAAACAACTTCTGACTTAAACTTGAAATTAGGAGATCAGAATTGGGCACTTGGAGCTTCTATACTGTTTTGCTTAAGTATTATTATTATTTTAGAGATAGAGTCTCACTATGTTACCCAGGCTAGTCTTGAACTCCTAGCCTCAAGTGATCCTCCTGCCTTGGTCTCCCAAAGTGCTGAGATTAAGTATTTTATTTTATGGCAGAGTCTAATTGAATATGATGCTTAAGTATTCTTAAAGTACTGAATATTAGCTTTTTCAATAATAATATACTGAAACACTCCTATTTTGATCACTGTTGCTTCAAAACCTAAATCCGCTCAAACAGGATCACAAACATGGGAAGAAAAGAGAAAGGAGTCAACAGTTGTTGACCATCTGATGTGTATCCGTTGCTTTAGAAATATAGTTGTGTTGAATCTTCAGATACCTTATATGTGTAATATAGTTATTATTATGTCCCTTCTACAGATGAGGAGAGTGAGGCCCAGTTTAAGTGACCTGACCAAGGTCCTTTAGCTAGTGCCTGAAGGAGTCAAAATTCAAACTCAGTTCTGTCCAGTGGAAGGGACTCCAGTGCATTCGATTCTGCTGTTATTTTTCCAGGACTCCACTCAACTAAAAATAATTATAAACTAATAGCTACCTAATGCCTGTGTGAAAAAAATTATACCACATTTTCTTGATCCTGAGTCTTTTTTGACTTAAATTTTATTACTTATACAGAATTCTGATCCATACTTTAATGATAGATGTGGAAAAGGGGAAACAGAGTGGGGGGAAAATAGGCAGTAGTTTTAAGGGTAGATAACAGTTCCTCTCCCCATGTCATTAGACCGTGAAACCGAAAATCTTCCCATTCTGTATTTTGAACCCTTCCCCATTGCACCCTTAACTTCTGCTTTTTGTATTGAGAAATTCAGTGCGATTTTAGATGAAGTGGTCATGAGAGATGTAAGATGATCAATTTCTTAGGAATATTTAGGTAGATATTGAGAAAATAAGAAAATAGGAGTAATGCTACAAAGACTAACCTGTGTACACTTTCAGAATGCTTGTTTCTTGTTTGCTTATTTCTACTTAATTGCATTCTGTACTAATTTCCTTTCCTTGCTCTTTGTCTGTTCTTTTCTAGCAGCTGAAGAATGTTCTGCTGACTCTGACCTCAACTTTCTTATTCCTGTTGCAGTGGGTGTGGTCTTGGGCTTCCTTATAATTGTCGTTTTTATCTCTTATATGATTGGAAGAAGGAAAAGTCGTACTGGTTATCAGTCTGTGTAATCTATTAAATCTAGTGCTTTTTTTCTTTCTTTTTTTTTTTTTTTTTGCAATCAGAAGTTACGTTTCCATTGGCTAAAAGCCAGGAAATGCTGTGCAATAGATTGTTTGAGATACGCAGACTAACCTCAGTGAGTTTGCTAGCTAACTTGGGCATGAGTAGCACTTAATTAAGAAAAAAAATGTATTAGGACCAATTACATTTTTTCTATTTTTCCTTCTTTGTTAAACTGTAATTGAAAGAAAAATTGTGGCTCAGAATTTTTTAAGTAAATAATGATTTTAAGCCTCTGGATCCAATTATGAATGCATTTCTACTGAAGTAAAATTTTATATGTTGCACTTATTTGTATTTTAGTACTTTGATGTTATTTGCAAAATCAAACCTGTTAGTGAATTTAACTTGCTTCAGGAAATAAATTTAAGAACATAATGAATTCATTTTCATTGGTAGCAAACATAAAATTTGGTTCATCATAAGACTTCCTTTACCCACCACCTGATTGATATTATTTAAATTTGTCTTTTTCTTTTAATTCAAAAAAGAAAGAAATGGCTTTATGATATTGTATTTAATAGCAAAAGTCTGTTTTCTCCAATACTGTTAGTGGCTACTGTATTTTTAAAATGATGTCTGTCTTTTTTTTTTTTTTTTTGCTTTCTGGAGTCTGGAATATATTGATTATCTTAGACCTGACATTTATGGTGAATGATAAAGTATCAATTTTTATGTA